CAATCTCTCAGAAATTCCTTGTACTGATTTGCAGTAGGGAGGGAAGAAGTGGAATCAAACTATGCTGCTAAAATGTCTCCAACAGAATGCCAAGCATAAAGGTTTTGTTTTTTTCACTTCGGTTTGTCACCTGTGTTCTGTATATGAGCAGTGTGATATAGGCAGTTATGAAATTGCATACTTTAATGACTGATTATGCAGATCTAGAGAGTGCTTTTCCATTTGTAAACACTCTTCATTTTCATCACTATCATGATAGTTTTGGGCTTTAACTGTTTGAACTGTTCTTTTTTTCAGAGGGGAATGATTGTACAGCAAACATGTTTTATGACTAAAATAAGAATTGGGTGTTTCGTTTAGACATTGGAAAGGTTTCTTGGAGCTAATTATAAACAACTGTAGATTTGAAGATCATCAGTTCAAACAGCTGTACATAAGTACAAGTTAGTTGGTTGTTTCACCACTTTGTCAAAGTCTGGATGAAGACCTGGACTCTCACCCTTAGATGGAAGGGCATTTGTTAGGATGTTCGGGAACATCCCACAAACAATCAGAGCTCAAGGCTGCCATGAACTGGAAACTGCTGGAACACTAGGGTCACTGTCCACACTGAAGCAAGTTTTCCATGGGCTGTATCGACCAAGAAAGGAGACTCTGGTCTAAAATCAACACCGCCAAGCTTGACTGAATGTTGCAGCTGCACATGTGGACAAGCCAAATGCCTTTTAGAGAAAAGTTTTACTGGTACATTGCACAAAGTGGATGGAGTAATGAAGAAGGAGGACTACCCCCAGATTCTTTAACTTTACCTCAATTCAAAATCTAGATGGGTGAAACTTGAACACATTTGGGTGTTCCAACAACACATCAAAACTGGTTTTGAAATAAGTAATGCAGTCTAGCATTACATTTCTGGAATGGATGTCTCAAAGCTCCAGCTTCAGCACAACTGAAAATCTGTGCTTAAAAGTTAAGTCCATGTCAGGAAACCAACCAATTTGAATGAACTTGACCAATTTAGACAAGAAGGGTAGTCAAATATCCAGCCAGAATGTTGCCATTAGCTTGTTTGAGGTATGTACATATTTAAGCCCGCATGTATAATTTTACTGTAAAGAACTATATGTATACTGTGGATTAGTGAAAATCTAAAATATAGTCAAATAGTCAAACTTGTACACCACATTCTTGCTTTCTAATGTTAAAGATGTAAGCTGAGCAAACATTTCATGCTGGAAAAAAGCAGTTCAAAGAAACCATTTAAAGCCCAGAATTACCATGACATTCATGCTCATGATGAGTGTGGGTGACCACAGCTGGATTTTCCCTCTAAGTAACATGAATACTGGGCTATGCTGATGCATTGGTGTATATGTAGACTGAGTTATACTGACATGACGTCCTTTTTAAATAAATAAAGGAGTATTATTTGAAAAAACATACGGGGTAATTTAGAAATGATAATCTCCCCAACAGCGATGCTGACTCCATTATTTAAAATACTGTCAGCAGTCTGCAGGATGTGCAGCAGAGTAAAAAAATGTCTTGAAGATAAGTTTTTAACAGTTTTCAAGGTATTGCTAGAAACTTGGACAATTACCCCATTATTCTCACTTTTCACTATAATTATAATTCATGCATTTACATATATTTATATATTTCATGTAAAGGTTAATCTCCGTTATGGGCTTTTTAAAACTCTAGTTAGTATTCAAGTTGGCAGGACAGTCATCCTTCTCCATAGATAGATAGATAGATAGATAGACAGTGGTCCAAAGTCAGCATTGTTTAGGTAAGTAGTGTAAGTAGTGTGTGGTGATATTAATGTAAAATCCACATGAATGGGAGAAACTAATATTTCCTAACCTAACATTGCCTCAAAATAGGTCAGTGCTTACTTCCCCTATCAGTAGTTTTAATGCTGTGTTTGATTCATGTATATCTGATTTCAATTTGTATTCATCTTCTTGTATGTTGTGTGTACATATATACACATTTCACGTTCATTTTACGTCCTATAAATAGTATCACCAAGTCTTAAACCTGGTAGTCTGTATGTTCAGGTCAGTCAATCAGTGATTGCAAGGGAAGTTTTTACTAGCTTGTTGACAGCTAAATATTGTCCAACACACACGAGCTCATCCAAGCATAGAACATATAAAGGTTCAACTGGTTTATTGACAAAACAGAACAAAACAAAGGCAGGCCAGCGCCAGAACACTGTGTTCTTGGGCAGCTGGTGACCGTTAAATTGGAGCTGCTAATAAAACTTTTGATGCTTTAAACCATTGTGAAATCAAACCCTTTGAACTAAATCAAATCATAGAATTGACGATCTAAAAATGCTTGTATTTTTGTTGTTATTTTTAATCGTTTAGGTATATTACAATTTAAAAAAAAAATCAAATGTTATTGAGCATGCTTTGATATGGCAAAGCTGCACAAGGTTTAAGGGGGAAATCCAGATAAAAATATATTTATCATTTTCTGTGTCCGTGCTGCAGAACACAGAAGAAACAAAGCGCAAAATGTATATTTATATTAAAACGTGTTTAAAAAAGGATAAATAGTGATTTATTTTCGTTTGCATAAAGTTTGGTTTGGGGATCTATGAAAATGTAAAAAAAAAAAATAAATCAAATCCTAATGATTAAAAAGTGGGGGGGTTAGGTTGCGACTAAATGTTGGGAAACCTGGTCATGTGGAACATGAAGCATTGCAAGAATGACTTACCTTGCATAAAATGTGTGAATAACGCGTGTATTTTCCAAATTTAAGCTGTTAAAAATATAATCAGCATTAGTTTTTTTTAGTTCCGTCAAGTAAAAAATCAAATCAAATAAAAATAAGCATTTAAGTCACATTTACACTTAATGCCATGTTAAGACAGACTGTTTCCGTCTTTTATCCTGCTATCTGCGGCCATGCAACCGCATGTAGGATATCTAACAATGATTAAAAACTAAAACAATCACCTCCATTCACAGAATGCGGGAACATTTACGATCTTAAAATTCAAAAAGGTCAACATTCCTTGAATCGCGTTGCCATCTCGTAACAGGATGGAGGAAACTGACCATGAAAACGAGTTCGTTGCGCACACAGCTACTCGGTGCGCTTTGGAGAGGTTGTGGTAACCTTTTTACGCGGCTGAGTTTTTCACAGTTCTAAACGCTTTAGGACACAGTAAAGCAGTAAAGCACCAATACGCAAGTTTTTATACACAAGACAAAGATCTATGGCATATAACTACAACGTATATATTGTCCGTGGCACTATTTAAGCGCTGAAACTCACCCCCTTCCCCTGGCGAGCACATACTAAAATTTACGCACAACGAAAACGTGTTGCTGTCTTAACAACACAGCATAAGTTCTTTAATTATTCTCGTTTGGCACACACTGTATGTGCAGTAAAGTACTATAAATCAATGACCACGCTGACTCGCTGGTAATAAATAGAAACCGTCGCCCTGGTCGTTCTTTGTGTCGGTTGGCAAGGAGATGATGGTGTCCAAAAATGGCTGTCCTCTATCCAACCTGGCTGATTGTACACACAGTATTATTATCCTCTAACTCGTGGTTAATGTATAATTTGGGCCATATGGCATTTTAAAATCTAAGCCTTTATTTCGGTGGCACTTCGATCTGTGTGGACCCAACTAATGATTCAATTAGTCATTAAACAGACCAAAAGACGAGCCTCGTGTGGGTTTTCACATAGGCTAATATTTGCTCGTCAAATATTTCCCTTTGAAACGTTTACAACGTATTTTTATCTGCTGGCTGCCCAAGGAACATCTGTGAGGGTTGTTTTAGCCTCCCTCTTCTGCATAAAAAGAGGTCCCCCAATTGGCCCTTTCCTTGCGCCCATATAGGAGTCTATTTGTTCACGTTTTGAAAGAAAATGTAATAAAGAGACTTTGTGATGGATTTATGATTTATCAAAAGCACTTTACCATATGGCAGTCGTCATAGGAGCAGATTTCCAAATGTTTGTTTTATGAAAGGAGACCAGAGATCATTTTAATCTGAGCCACTTAACCTAGGAGAGGATGTTCAAGTCACGTGACCCACTAAAGTATGAGAAACACACTGATGTTGACCATGTAGTTTCTTTGAAACAAGACGGTTAGGTATATATTTTCGTTACATTAAGAAGAGCCAAAGCAGAAAAGAGAAGGACTGAAGTGTGCTGCGCTGAAAACTGCATTGTCTAATTAAGACTGCAACCAGCTACTGCGCAAAAGGAAGCTCTTTGAGTTCCCAAGCTCGGATATTACTCTTTTGTGTGTCAGCTGCTGGAGCAGTGCACGGGCTACTAGACGTTAAAAACAGACTTAATCTATTTGTTTGTGACGCTTTAGATGATCAGACATTGCCAAGAAATTTAGTAAAGTGCGCTCAGGTGGCATCAGCTTTGCCCAAGTGTGCAGTGTGTAATATCCCACTAGTAGATGGTGCAAAGATGCTGACATGATGTGGGGGTAGGTTATATCTGATTGGATGTTTCACACTATGACATGTCTAGATGTTATTATAACAACAAAAACCGAGCTCTAATTTTGGCTTGCCGGAACGCTTTGTGGGAAATTCTTCTACAAAATACATTCCTATCACTCACTTGGTCTTCCCCCGTCTGCATTTGCTTTTAAAATAGGCTACTTGAAACGTGCTTTGTGAATCGCCGAAAAGGATCAGAATACAGGTGGTTTTAAAGCTAGGATATTGTTCTATGTCCGAAGATTCTGGCCGCTTAAACGCACCAACTTGAAGCACATGTCCAGCCTTTAACACGCACATTCTCTTTCAAAGCAGTAGACTATTTACATTTCAGGAATCGGATCACCACGTCATGTTGAGGTGTGCAGGTCTATAAATTGCTGCTGAAGGGTGGGATTCCTCTCACTGTAATTCGTTCACCAGACTGGAGTGGAGTTACCGCGACAATTTCGTTAATTCTAATTTATCGCATTCTTCACATTGCAGTCCAAGGTCTCCCCCCTCTCTGGAAAAAAGTTCTTATAGTTTTGACTTCAGTTTCATCATCAAGGCTGGGAGCAAGGAGAGATGTGCGGAATGAACACTGATCTGGAAAATAAAGGTTCATTTTCATTTTTTAACCACTTATTTATATTCGTTACAAATCAGTGAATATGGATTAGATATGAACGACAGTAAGACATTTTAGTGGACTCGTTGTATTCGGTTAATTAGAAAAAATAACCAATTTAGTATGTGTTGTGATAAGGTGGTGGAAATGTCAACCAGTTAGGAGGAATGTTTCTCAACGGAAGACCGCTCCCACAACCCAAGAGACGAAAAATGATTCAGCTGGCCTTGGAGGGAGTCCGTCCAAGCCAGATCTCCAGGATACTCAGGGTACGGTAACCTGAATAGTGATAAACAAAAACAACAACAACAAAAACAACAACAACTTTGGATTTCGAAAAAATAAGCTTTTGCGATGTTATGTTAAATGCAGCATCAACGGAATATTCTTGTTTAACACAGTGGAGCTCACTTGCATCTTTAGGTGTCCAACGGGTGCGTCAGTAAGATCCTGAGCCGCTACCGGCGCACAGGACTCCTGGAACCCAAGACCATCGGTGGGAGCCGCCCCCGACTTCTCACCCCCGGTGTCATCTCCACGATCATCCAGTGCAAAAGGGAAAATCCGACTATTTTTGCTTGGGAAATCCGAAAACGTCTCGCAGCGGCGCGGATTTGCAAGGCCTCCAACGTCCCCAGCGTAAGTAAGATTCAAATTCAAATGTACTTTAACTACACTGAAACGATTCCAGCACTTGATGGTGTTTTGTGCACACTGTGTTCTGCAAGGTGTCGTCCATAAATAGGATTTTAAGAAAGATCCACTTGGACCGCGGACCATCGTGGATGGACCTCAACGCTGATGTCAGGGTTGAGCAGGGTAAGTAACTTGGTCCTTGGAGAAGTCATTTATAACGGTTTAGGAAGACTATCGAGTTTGATCAGAATTTTTATCACTGAACATGACAATTTAACACATAAATGTATAAATATTAACTGCATGTAGTCTGTGTGTTTCCATATGTGCAGATTTGTATTCTCTGGCTCAAGAAGAAGCAAAGAAGTTTGAGAAGTTTGAGACAGAGTGCAGTAAAAAACAGAAATCCAAAGGTGTGCAGCACAGAATCCGCACCACCTTTACGCCAGAGCAGAGCAGAGCACTTGAGCAAGGTGACTTAAAACCTCTACAGCTATTTCAAACTAACACAATGCATAATTTTTAGACTCAGTAATAGTTAAAGATCTATTTCTCTGTGTTGAATCAGAATTCTCTCGCAGCCAGTATGCTGACATGTACACAAGAGAGAAGCTATCTGCTGAAATTAAACTTCCCGAGGACACCATCAAGGTAGACTTTTCATCAATTTTAGCATCACGAAATTCATATACATTTAAGCTGTCTGTTCCTGAGGTGTGGCTTCTATCCCTCAAAGGTCTGGTTTTCTAACAGACGTGCTAAATGGAGAAGAGAAGCCAAGCAGAGAGGTAGTACGCAGAGTAAGTGTGAGTGTGTGTCTGTGTGTGATGCACACATACTTGGGAGCTGAGTGTGGGTGGCAAGGATGTGTTAAGAATGTGTATAATTTGACCACTGGACAATAATAAATGGAGCTGAACACACTGGTAATGGAAAGTCCTCCTGAACACATCGATTCTTGCCTCATAGATGTTAAAATGTGTTTCTTTGTAGCAGCTGAAGACTTTGAAAAGCAAAGTGACTTTGTTCCTGTGAATCCAACAATGACATACAGCTTCACATCTCAACAGGTACTGTGCAAACCAGTGATATCTACTTTAGAGCCCTTAAAACATGCCGCTGTGAATGTTTTTCCGAGCATAGTTTTCTAGGCAATTTCTAGGCAATGCTAGGCAATTTCCAAATGAGATTTCTGTGTTTTTAACAAACGTCTGGTGACATTGTGGTATTTAAACTTTGTTTATGCGGTTTCCAAGGCTACTGGAATGGCAAAAATCAATGCGGACAGCTCCTCGTACAGCACTGTTGCAAGGAAGCTGCAAAATTGCTGCTTCTTCCCAACAGAAACAGGTGAGATCCAGGAAAACTGTCTTTGACCAAATCACTGTCTTTAATAATCTTTCTCTCTGTTTGATTATGAGGATTTTCATTCAATTTAATTTTTATTCATATTGATAGAGAGTATTTAAGAATGATGTTAAAGAAGCTGGAGATTAGCTTGATTGTAGTTTAGCTGAATATGATATAAAGGTCAGTGATGAGAGTACATGTTATAAAAAGTTTCATTCCCTGTGATGGGCTTGGGTTTGAATTTACTAAACTGCTAAAAATCTATTAAGAATCCAATGATCCTGATTATGAACTAATTTAAGGTTGCACAAAAAAGGTATTATTCTAATATTTTCCCTCCTACCTGTCTGTTGGTCATCATATAAAGTTGCCTATCTATGAAGCCATACGTTAAACATGTAATAAATTTATGTCGATTTCACAAGTCATTTGGGATTTGTAGGGATGGTAAACTCTATTCACTATTTATGTGTTTATTCGTTTAAATATGAACAATAGGGTAGGTGTAGGGTAAAGCCTGCCCGTTGGATCACAATATCACTTAAAATCACTACTCTCAATTGTTCCTAAGTACATACTGTACTATCTTAATTTCTATGCAATAACTTTTCAGAAATTAAAGAAAATAATCTTTTCCCCCTTGACGTACAGCCGTGAGGAATTCTGAATGTCCGACATCCTCATTTCCCCATCTGCCGAGTGACATGCAAAACATAGACAAAACTCCTCTGGATCTCCACAGAGATGGATACAGTTTTCCACTGGTTCCCCACCACACAGACATGAGGAGAACCTGCCCTTTGGCAACAAAGACAGGGGGGGCAGACTGCCCTGTGATTCAACAGTGGAACCAGCAGGGAATGCCGTTTACCTGGAGTCAGTTTCAAACAAATGAGCAGTTTCTGTTGGTCCCGGATGTGAATCAGCATCTCTACATGGACTGATAATGAGACCAGCGGATCAGCGGGAAGAGCTTTTGACTGCTGCTTAATTGCTCGACTGAAGGGACACTTTTCAACCAGTAGAGGGAGACAAAGTATGGACCCAACAATGTTGTCCTTTCCACCCTTTGCCTCTTAATTGCACTGCAGCTCGACTCATCACTTTTCCTTAGGTCTGTGCTGTTAGCATGCAATGTAATTTTTGATTGGTAAGATAATTAAATTAATTCACTAAACCCATTTGCAATGAAGCAAACTTAATGTGACTTTATAGCACCAGAAGGGATGAGAAAATAGATAAGATGAGGATGATAATAAACTTTTTCTTGGAAGAAAGCTTTATTGTTCTTGTTGCTGGGCAAGAAGGACAATAAAGTTAGGTTCAAGTTAAAGAAGGTAGAGTTTAGTACTGACAGAGATTATTAAGAGATACATTTTAATCTCTGAGTATAATCTTTAATGAATACTTTGCTGTGCTCCTCAGTTATATATCAGTTTTAAAGACTTCTTGACTCCTACATAAACGATTGCTCCATGGATCATTTAAGGTTACCACACGATGATATGGACGTGATCTCCTTTATATTGTTAGGCTTGACATTTGTGTCAGTGTAGGAGCGTAAGGAACACTTCCAAGATTTCAGTCCAGGAAAAGCCGGTGGGAGAATCCCTAAAAAAAACCCTAAAGTTTAAATGCGACCTGATATCTGCTCCGCTCGGTATCACTTTTTACGACTGCAACAGGGCAGAGGCATTGAGTTCCTTTATATCCCTTTACTACAGTGAGGAGACAGTAAGTCTCTGAGTTTCCTGATAATTGGTCAGCAGGGGAAAGATTGGGTTCAGAATACAAAAAGCTTGGTCAGCAGCATGGAAGTAGCCTACTGGCGAAATGACCCCCACTGGAATATAACATCACGAAGCCAGATAGTCAAATGATATCTCCACGTTTGTGTTGTGACTGTTTCTGAAACATCCACCAATCTTGCATAAATTGAGGCAAGTTTTAGGATGACTGCATATGAATTTTTAACAGCAGGTACTGAACACATGTATTTAATTTACATGCAGTTTTCAAGTGTTTTTATGCTAATTTATGACACATTTCAGAGATCAGTATTTGACCTTTTATAAGAGTTTTTTTTTTTTCAGCTCCAGTGATTTCTTTACAGTTTGTGCTTATATAGTAAAATATCCTATGGTTTTCTTACAAGATACATTTTTATATGGATTGCACCCATTGTGCCCTTGTGCTTCCCAATATTTTTGGTTGCTAGCATTTCCTCTTCTAAACTCTTCAGCTGTTTTAACCTTTTCTGGATGGAGAAATGTATCCATGAATTCAGGATCTCATAGATTACTTATCTACTGATATTTAATGAAAAATAAAACTAAATCCATTCTGACCTCCTACAGTATTACAAAGTGAATAGTATGTAAAGTCTACAGCAGCGGGCATGCCCAATTCTTGTTACAAGGCTTTCATGTGGTAGTTTTATCTGTTGTACTGCTTTCTTTTTCTTAAGCAATAAACCTGAATACTTAGTGCACTACTTTAAAAGCCTTCATATACTAATTTGACAGAAATATTAATCTTACATCTGGAGGATTCTCTGTATCTTATCTCATATTGAGCAACTAAAACTTTAGGAATTGCTGAAAAGCACATCCAAGTTCAACTGAACCTCACTCTAGTCTGGGATGTCCAAATTTGTTATCCAAATGTTCCTGACATGTTATTATTTATCTCCTTCCCTTGTTGTATGTATGACCCCCGTTGCTTTAGCCACTTAAGAGTATTTATTATACACTAGAATTTGCTTCTCTGACTGATATAAGGACCAAACTGCCAAAAGATGGAGTAAACAGACTCAGAGATGGTGTTTCTGGCATGTTCCTCGCAACATATTCCGCAAAGGAATATGTCAAGCGCTAAGACGGATACAGCTTAGTGTAATGTTAAGGTGTTTATTAAAATAGGAAAATTACAAAGGGTTACAAATTTTGGGAAAGATCACCAATATGAAACAAATCACTAACACAAAATAGCAGCTGTTATATTTTACAGTATACAAACATTTGAACAGAATGATCAAGGAATAAAAATACTCAAGTATGATATTTACAAAAATTACAATTTGTATGAGGCTTTTTATATTAGGGAAAATTAAATAACAGCAACGGCACCTTAAGAGCATTCGTTGTGGTTCATGATCTGCCACATGAGTATTGGTTTTAGCTGTTTAATCAGCCTTTCAGGAAGTTACCTTTCCATAAATTAGCCACTTTACAGACCTTCACTTTGATTGGAAACCTGTGTGAGACTATTAAAGGCTTGCATTCATACAATGATACTGAATACCGTTTGTTTCTTTACAAGAATTCCTGTGAATCCTGGCCAAATGACTTACTCACTGGTTAGAACATAAAACCCATTGACTTACAGCCAAATATATCATTTTTTGTGACTCTACTGTAACATTTCCAACATGATATTTACAGCAGTTATCTTAGAACTGAGAGTTAGAATTTTAGGTTTTAAATGCTGTTGCGACATGCACAAACATCCCCACAGCTACTTTGCTGCTGATAGCTGAGAAACACAAGGCCACTTGGGGCATCATTAGGTTAGGTTCTGGTTATTCTAAAGTTGTGGGAATGAGAGTCTTGTAAGCAAACCACATATTTATTTTTTCTAATCTGTGTAATGCTAAGTTGAAAGTGTCAAAAGTCAATTATGCTCTGATTTTTCATGTAGGGATTTTCCCCTCCCCTGATGATTTTGTTCATCTTGTTTATCCCTTTGCGTGGAACACCATTAATAACTAATATCAATGTTAAAGAAAAAAATGTGACTAACATATTCACCTAACAGACAAAAGATCACTGGTTTGAGCTTGAGAGGACACACAAATCCCTCAGAGGGTGCAGGAAAATGTGTCAAATCAGATATGCATATCCATCCGCTGTAGTGACCCCTTATAAGGGATCAGCCCAAAGAAGCTTTATTAATATGAGCGAAAACTGGATTAATCGGCAACTCTTGTCTCTTGTCAGGTCCTTTTATGAGCTAAAATAAAGTATAGAAGAGTGGTTGCAGTAGTTGTGCTACAGCAAGAACATCCCAGGTTCAAATCAACCAGCCAGCCTGTACCTGAGTAGGTTTTCGCCGTGTGCTCCAGCTTCCTCTTCCTCCATATTAGGTTAACTGGAGATGCTAAATTGGCTGTAGGAGTGAATGTGAACTTAAATTGTAGTCTGTCTCCTTCACCCCATTTCAACTATCACTGCCTTAAGAAAATATCCCCCCTCCTCCTAGATTCAAAATTTACCTGTGGGCAAAATAATACCATGAAACAAAGATCCTTGATTTTAAAGTTTGGCCATATGAGGCATATTGTACCTAATATTCTGCTCTGGTCTGTGTTATTTAAATGTCAGGTTTACGCCACAGTTATTTAAAAGTCTGTAATTCTTCGAAACAAGAAATTATCATCAAAATATCATGTGGAATTACAAATTCGTTTTGGAACAGTTTTTTTCATTTAGAAAAATAAATATACATTACTTAGAAGCAACCAGTCTCTTTAAATATTAAACATACTTAAGCACAAATAAGCCAATCTGACATTACCGAGTGACCCAAAAATATTCCAGATCTATAAGACCTATAAATTTATACAGCACAGCAGAAACAAAACAAATCTGCAGGTATCCACATACAGAGTCGCTTTCCATGAAACAAAAAAACCCCAAAACCTATAAAATATCCTACTGACCACACACAGCCCGCCAGGGGCCACAGTTCCCTCCAAACTGGAGACCAAATAGCCATGTTATATTTGGCATGGCTCTTCTTT